TCCCTTTTAATTGACGGAACTAAAGAATAATGGGTAAAATATTGAAATAATCATGTGAAGTAAGCGGAAAACCTAGGGATTAGAACATAGATATGAAAAATCGATCGAACAAGTAAAGAGAACCACAGTCAAATACTTTAGAATTTTTGCAGGAAACTTAAAAGGATGAAACCCTAGTTTGAAAACACTTAAAGAAGAAAACTTGAAGGCATGTCAGCATACAGAGATTCGAACAAACAGAAGTCATAGAAGTCAAAACCTGAAGTATTATAGTGTTTAAAAATCGGTCAGTAGTAAAGGAGTAAAAGAACCCAGAAGAGTAGCCATGGAAGTTTAAAAATGTTTCAGATACCTAAAGATTCGACCAACAAACAACAAGAAAACAAACAAAAAAATGTTCAGACATCAATTAACTAGTAAAGAAGTAAAGGAATTTTTAGGAAAATCAACGATGAACTCAGGATCATTCCAGATCTACGGAGATCTGAACTGATTCAAGTCCGACATTAGGTTTCTTGAAGAAAAGAGAAAGGGTAAGAGAATCTGGCCTTTGAATCAAGGATTTGAGCCGTGAAACTTTGATAGAAATCACTCACAGACCATGGACAAACTCTTGAAGAGCCTTAAACGAGATCTGGACCAGATCTCTTGGAGGTCCTTCCACAAAAGCCACACAATCGAACAACCATGGAGATAGGAGATGAGTATAGGCTTCATACAGCCATAGGATGCCATAGATCGAGTATGAATCATAAGGATTAGGGCTGGTTTTGGGTGGCGGCGGCTAGGGTTAGGTTTATATCTCAGAGAGAATTAGAGAGGAAAGGGGGTTTCAGGGTGACTGTTGGTGAGAAATAGCTAGGTTTGGGGGGTCGTTTGGAACTAAAAAAAGAAAGGGTTAATTGTGGTCGTTGATCTCTGTGATCAATAGCCGAGATTGAAAGGGTTTGGGACCGGATCAGACATTAAGGCTTGGGCTGGGTCTATTTGGGATGGTTTAATTTTGAAATTGGGGTTAAAATTGGGCTGGATATTTAGGCTAAATTTGAAAAAAGAGGGTCATTTATTAAATACCCTATTTAATTGATAAAACAATTTTTAATAATAACCAATAGGTTGTAAAAAATGATTTTCATGCTTGTAAATATTTTAAAATAATTACTTAATATTTTAAAATATAAAAGCCTATTTTCTGGTAAAATAATGTAGTAATGTGTGTGGGGGCTATAATTGCAAAGTAATTATAATTGCAGCCTAAAAATACAAAAATAATTGAGACTTAGTACAAATAGAAATGATAAATTAAACCACAAAAATTATTATAAAACTATTTGTGATGCAATTAGTAATTGTTTTTATAAAATGAATGTTGGGATAAATTAATTAAAATATTTTAAAAGTGCAAAAATTGTATGAAAAATACTAATTGATGCCCAGGCATAGTTTTAAAAATATTATGGGAAAAATTGGGTATCAACATCGTGTTTTGCCTTCGAACTCGAGTCTGATCCCTCGAACTCGAACTTGACCTTTCCCGGACTCGAGCCTAGGGCAGAACCTCGAGCTTCTACACCAGGGGCGTATGATATTGATTGTATATAGATAGTCCTCGCGTTTCTTAGAATTAGATGACAAGAAACGATTTGCACCTCGACCTCCCCGAGCTTCTCATAATGATGTCAGGCTTGTGATGTAGGTGCTTGAAATGACCGGAACTGTCACGTTGGCGCTCTTCCCCAAAACATCAAATGCGTGTCAGTGTTGGTTGGCCACTTGTGTCGCCGATTCGTCGCCCCCTTTCTTCAAATAGGAGGCTATTCTGTTGAACAAAGAACTGTACTTTTCTTTATCTGCTTTTGATCTTTTCCTTTCTTTGCTTCCTTCTTTAATTGTCCATTTCTATGGTTCGAGCCTGCGAATAAGGTCATATGACAGCAACTTTACCAGTCATGCCAAGGTTCCCTTTTTCAAAGCTTTGATTCGAAACAATGTGAGAAGGACGCCGAATCCTTCTCGCATCAGAAAATATGCGAACTTTATACTGCTGGTCATCTCTCTTAACTTCAACCTAGTGTAGCACTTCATTCCTTTTGCTCTACATGGAATGCGGTGACATTACCGTCTACTAACTTTTGCATCCCACATCAGCATAACGTCCCATGGACGAACATTCTTGGATCGTTACTCGTGCATCTTGCAACCTTTTTGTTTTTTCTTGTGATAGAAGGCGAAGCTACATTTTCATCTATTCCATTCTGGTCTTTTCCTTTTGCTGCTCTTTTCTAACGGATAATGGCCCAAAATCTCAACAGAATGCTTGATCCATACTGCTGGAAATATAGTTACATTCATCGAGGGCTCTCTGCCCTATATCTCTTCGGGCACATAGACATTCCCAAAGATCAAAATGGGGGCCCCCGGGAAAGATGCTCCCGAAGATGACGCTCTCAAAGACGTGGCTTTAAAAGTAGATTAGGTTCTTGGCTTTTATTTTTTGCTTCTTTGTTCCCGTGTAAGTATCCTTCGTGGGTGTTGTAGTTGTATTTTGTAACCATATATTGGAAATATGAAAGGATCCCTTTGTCCCCCTTTTGTCCTATGTTGAATTTTATTCTATCTTTACTTGTAAAAGACTTGATTGTATAACTTTAATGACTAGTCCAAATACCGGACTCAGGACATAATAACCCTTAGGTTTTTAATCCTCGAGCTGAGCTTAAATCGATTTGATGTGAACTTGGAACATCGTGATTCCCGAGTTCGAGTTAGGTGATAGAAAGGTCTCGAATTTTGAAATAAAGTTAGTCCTTAGGTCTTTTTTAGTCCCCGAGTGAGAAATTTCTCAAACTCGGATAGCCCTTGGGCTTAGTAGTCGAGCGAGCATTTGCTCGAACTTTTAATAAAGTTAACCCTTAGGCTTTTTTGTAGTCCTCGAGTGAGAAATTTCTCAAACTTGGATAGGTTGGGCTTAGCAATCGAGTGGATACTCTGCTAGAATTCGACTTATAGGCTGCCCGTTATGATCTTCGATGTCTTGATCCTGATGCCAATATCGTGACATCAGCGGTTGAAGTGACTGAAAGGTTGCTTTTTATGCGATTATTAAAGTCATTAATTGGAGGCGGTTGACGGTCGGCCTTTGGCTTCCGCAGCACGCTTAAATGACCTCTATAAATAGATAAACTTCACAACCTTACACTTTATTCTCATATTGTTCTCAAAGTCTCATTAGCTTTTTAAATTTCTCTGAATTCTCCCTTCTCTTCACTGTTAACACTCTCTATTTTCTTGAATTTCTGTATCGCGATGGCTAAAACCTCTAAGCCGGTTCCCCAAAAAGAAAAAGCTTCTTCATCTTCTTGACCGACCAAAAGCAAACCCTCGTATTGAGGAGTGCATTCCCCTGCCATGTGAAATAACATCCGATTTCAAAATCGAGAAACCTATGTCGACACCAGGTTGATGCAAGCCCATGTCTCGATATGTTTATTTGATAACTAGGGCCGAGCTTGGGCAAGTAAAGGAGGACTGCAAGTGGGATAATAAAGAAGTAGTGATTCCTTCCTCCGAGGAGGACATCACTACATATAAAGCGGGGTACTTAAGCGTATATACCTACCCATTCACGTTGGGTCCTGCAATTCCGGCTCAGGGTCCCAAAGATCCAGTTATTCGTGACTTTTGCCAACGATATCGAGTGACGCTTGGCCAGATCTACCCCTTATTATGGTGAATCGTTTACTTAATCAGGTTTTTTACGAGCCAGGTTGAGGGGATGTCTTTTACCCTCGACCACCTGATCAGACTGTACAGTTCTCGACTTTATCGTAGGGGCCTGATAAAATTGCAATGCCGATCCTTGAAATCTCTCTTCTCCAATATCGACGAGGATAAAGACCGAGGGTGGATGAGCCAGTTTGTCCGATTCAGGACCTCCGACCTGATTCCTGCTGATTGGATGTCGTTCCCCGAGGAGTGGAACATGAAATGTGAGTACATAGTAGGTTTATACCCTGCTTTCTTTTCTTTTCCCCAGCTTTATACTTTTCCTTGGTCTAACCCCTTTATGATAGTGCAACCACTGCTTGGTTTCCTGGTGGGGTCCCGGACCTCGAGGGCTGGGTCCGAAAGCTGGCTTCCGCCTCCTCTTATTCGGAGCGTTGCTGGTGAGATCTGGTCAAGGGTCGATGGGAGGCCAAAAACCATGGTGAGTTCTCTTGTTTGTTTTCTTGTACTTCTCTTATGGGATATTTACTTCGATTTTGTGTAGGTCTTGGAGACAGCGTTGCTATGCGGACGGCCCCGGCTAATGAAGACGAGGTTCCAAAGTCTTCTAAAGAAAGAAAAAGAAGAAGAGAGTCATCTGCAAATCCCCCAAAGCCTAAGAAGAGTGTGGCTTGAAGGTCCAAGGCTGATACATCGACCTTATCTCTGGAAATGGCCAAACGCCTTCGGGATCAGGAGGAAGAAGAAGATGATGACTGCCTGATGGTAGCTCGTGAAAAAGAAAATGCCGGTGCTTCAAAGTCCATCGAGCTGGTGACGGTTGATGTGGCTCATTCCAGAGCTGAAGAAATCTCCGAGGGGAGTTCAAACAAACTCACCGAGCCATCGTGCAAAAAAGAAACACCTCGCCTAGGAGTCCATTTGAAGGGCGAGGCCGAATGGCCCATTCCCGAGCCTCTTCAAATAAAAGAGAACGCCCCGAGTAAATCACATGGGGTAATCAATATGGATGATTCACCTCCTGGCCCCGAGTTCTCTGAGGGGCAAATCCGAGATGCTTAGAATATGAGGTATTCTGAAGTGGAAGCAATCCATGAAGGGCATGACATTTTTCAAGAATGCCTTGCAGGGCTTGAAGATGGCCCCGACCTAGATGCTTTTTTTATTTTTGATGAGGCTTGTAGACTCTTCAAACAAGTGAGTTTTCTGTTTTTTATGCTTGCGCCTTTGTTTTAGCTGTTCTGAATCCATCTTTCCTCCTTTTTATGAAGGTTTTGGTGCTCCATAAAAGGGCATTTTCCAAGTCTTGAACTGATCTTGCTCGATGCGAGGCCGAGCTTAAGAAGATTTCGAAGGAGAGGGACGACCTTAAAACCCTCTATGTTAAGAAATAGATGGAGATCAACAATCTACGAGTTGAGTTGATGCAGGCCTGCCAAGGACGAGCCAAATATGTTGAGAAGGTAATATAGCCCTTGAGGGTCTTTTATGTACTTGTTTGTTTTAACGACTAATACTTTTAATTTTGCAGTTTTATCAGAAGGCCGACTTGGAGGCGTAGCTTCGGGAGGATCTTAAGATGAAAGAAGCCGAGACCTTGAGGTGGAGGCAAGGTATGGACAATCTCGCTTCTGAGAAGGAAACTCTTCGAGAGAAGCTGGCTTCATTCGAACGTCAATTTCAAAGTGTGAAAGAGGAGAGCTTAGCTCGTGACCGCAAAATCGAGGAGCTTAAAGCTAAATCTGCTGCCGAGTTGGCCAAGGCCAGATCTGACGTTGAGGTAATTATGTCTTCGTACCGAGCCGATGCTGAAGCAGCTAATGCTCGGGCTAAGGAGATTTCTTCTGCAGCAGAAGTTAAGTTATCAAGTGCACTTGATCATGCTAGGTGACAATCCCGGAGGGTGACCCTCGAGGAGGTACATGCGCGACTTCGATCTTTCAGCCGATATCAAAAAGGCAAAGATTTTATAAGAAGAGGTTGCCGCTATGCTTTCCGATGAAGATGATTCTGTCAGTGGCTCTGAGAGTGGAGGAGACGACGGTAAGTCCCTGAGGATGAGGCTCTCAAAGATGCGACTGCCGAAAATGTGATTCCGGAGTAGTTTTAGGTTTCCTTATTTTGATTTTGTATAAGTATCCTTTGTGTAAATATTCCTTGTAATCATCCTTTGGAAATACAAGAGGAACTTTTTCTCTCATTTTTGACTTGTGTTGGATTTCATATTGTCTTTATTTATGGAATACTTCTTTTGCATAACTCGAATGATTAGTCCGAAAATCGGCTTAGGCTTAGGGGTGAACCCTTAGATCTTTATTGATAGGTATAATAATCCTCGAGCCATGTTTCAATCGATGCGATGCGGACTCGAGATATCGCGATCCTTGAACCCGGGTAGAGTGAGAACGGGGTCTCGTTCAATAAGTTTTTGGCCCTTAAGCCTTTCGAATTTGGCCCTTAGTCTCTTGTATATCGGCCTTTATGCTCTTTAAGTTGGGCCGATTCGGCCTCTTAGAATGACTATATAATTTTCCCCTCATTTTGGCTAAAAGACTTAGTCAAAATTTAATTATGCCTTAGCATGTGTTTTTTGTACCCGTAGGTTTTTTGAAGGTTTGACATATCGGAACCTACTTAGTAATTTGTTTCTTTAAACATAATTGAATACATCTTGAGTTATTTGCGAAGACCGATGTTATCGAGGGCCGAATTTATCGAAGCCATTCATATTTTGCTTTTGCCAAGGGTAGCCTGATTTAACTGGTTTTTCAATGTTTGAAGGCTTTTAACTTATAGTGGAAGTCGGACGTCTCCGAGCCGTAATATTTTGGTTGTAGCCTTTATATGACCGTAGTCTTTAGTATGGCCGTAGCCTTTGGGTATGTCACTTGGACTTGTTTCTCGATAACTTTCCAAACTTGTTCGAAAAGTTATCCCCGAGTATATTAGTCTTGACCTTTATTTCGAGGGGGTTTCTCTATGAGGTCCTATAAGTCCGAGTTTTCGATGACTCGGATATACTGACTATTGATGACAGTTTTCGAGTATTTGGGGATGCTTTTATCCTTTGGCTCTTGAGCCGCTTCCCATAGGATTATAAGTGTAGAGCTCGTATAATAGTAAACTTCTTTGAGACACGAAATGTTTTTGATATTAACAGAATGCTAATTCAAATAATTGATACGTACGTACATGCTCCACTGTTAGGGCTCGACTATTCTATATGGCATAGTTCATCTGACCGTTTGGCCCATTATAATATTTTCTTATCGAGGCCCTCTTAGGTGTGAAGTATTTTCCTTGAAAATATAATCTCCGAGGGTGATGCCCCCCAGTATTTGAGGTTGATTGAAAAGAAACCTTGCATACTGTTGAGTTTTCCTTAGGCAGCACGCAGTTGTTGCCTCGTTAAAAACCTTGCCGGTAAAACCCATTTGGGACAAAAATCCGAGCTAAGGGAAAAAGAGTGCAACGTGTGCTTTAAAACCTAAGGCCTTCATGTAAAAAGGGGTGTCTTCGAGATCGAGCGCCTTTGAGAGATTCCATCGTACTGAGCTTGTAAGATCATTTACCAACACTCCGAGGGCTCGATACAGTCTATTCCTGCTATCCACGATCGTGATACCTTTGAAAGCCTCGACCTAGTCGGGGATGATTTTGATACCCCGATTTGACACCATGAAGTCGAGAAACTTACTCGAGCCAACTTCGAAGGCATACTTCTCTGGGTTAAGCTTCATGTTGCATTCCTTCGAAACATTGACTATTTCCCGCAAGTGAATTAAAAATGGTCCTCTGCGCACATGGACTTAACCAGTCATATCATTAATACAGGCTTTTATTATTTTACCTGTTTGTTCTTTGAACATCCTGTCAGCTGGGCATTGGTACATAGCTACTTGGGCTGAGGCCTCCCTTTTTGCTTCGCTGGTTTAAACATGGGATCTACGCTCATCCTATGTGTGGTGATTTCTGGCGGAATCCCTGTCATATCTAAATAGGACCAAGCAATGCGATCCATATTATTAATAAGAAACTAAATGAGTTTTTTCCTGAGCTTGGGAGTTAATCTCGTTCCCAGGTGTACCTTTCTCTTGAGTGGTTGACTTGGTAGCATCTGACTCCTTGGGAACAATGAAGGTTCTAGGAGGAAGGAAGTCCCCTTCTTAGCCTTCGGTTACTTGTTACTTCGCTTCCGTCGAGGCTTGGAGATATGATTGCTACTCAGTCGCCTGCTTACCTTTGAAGCTCGATTTCTCTGAGGCCAAGGGTTCTGGTATCGGCACCACTTCCTTGATTGCAAACATCTCTTTTGCAGCATGATGTTCTCCGTGAACTGTTTTCACTCCTTCCCCTATCGGGAATTTCATCATTTGGTAGAGAGTTGAAGGCACTGCCCTCATATTATGTATTCATGGGCTCCCGAGGAGTGCGTTATAACTCATGTCACATTCAATGACATGGAACCTGGTGTCTTGTATGGTTCCGACTACGTTCACCGGCAAGATACTCTCCCCCTTTGTTGTTTCGCTTGCTATGTTGAAGCCATTCAAAACCCGGGATGCATGTACAATCTGATCTTGTAGGCCGAGTTGTTCCACGACCTTCGATCTGATTATGTTCGCTGAGCTACCTGGATCTACCTAAACACGTTTAACTCAAATTTTATTTAAAAGGATAGAAATTACCAGGGCGTCGTTGTGAGATTGGGATATGCCCTCCGCTTCTTCATTACAGAATGATAGGACGTCCTCGGGCACACAGCTCCGAGTCTGCTTCTCCCTTGTGATTGATACTTTGGTGCGTTTGAATATAGGTCGTTGAGGGATATCGATTCTGCCGATGATCATGTGGATGACATGTTGTGGTTCTTCTTGCTCGTTTTTCTTCGCGTCTCTCTCCCTGAAGTGACTCTTAGCCCGATCACTTAGAAATTCCTGAAGGTGGCCCTCATTGAATAATCAAGCCACTTCTTCCCTTAGTTTCCTGCAATCTTCCATTTTATGACCATGCATGCCATGATATTTGCACATCAAGTTCGGGTTCCTCTAATATGGATCGGTCTGTATTGGCCTGTGCCACTTGGTTTCTTTGATTCTCCCAATAGTTGAGACAATTCCCAGCACATCTACGCTGAAGTTATATTCTGTTAATTGAGGTGCGTTGACGGAGTCAGAATGCTTATCGAACCCGCTCTTACTCGTGAGTCCTCGAGAGCCCTGACCTCGATCATTTCTCCGATTGTTCCGAGGAGTTCGTCCTGAACCATGGTTCTTTCGATTGACATACGGTTGATATCTTTCCCTACTCGATCTCGACTCCCAGTTCGTATCCCTCGGGGGCCTGGCAACAAACCTGTTAGGATGGACTAAACCTGATGGGGCTCCTAATTGATCATCCTCAACCCTGATTTTTGACTGGTAACGGTTGTGCACATCTGACCACGTTACAGTTGGATACTCGATCAAGTTCTGCTTTAGTTGTCGGGAAGAAATCGAGCTTCACTTGTTCAAACCATACATACAGGCCTGTACTGCCCAGTTGTCGGAGACCGGTGGCAGTTTCATTCTTTCTATCTGAAACCTAGACATGAACTCCCTTAACATCTCGTCGCTCCTTTGTTTTTATTTTGAAGACATCCAATTTCCTTGTGGCTACCTTTATGGTCCGGCGTGGGCTTTAACGAAGGCATCTACTAATATAGCAAATGAATCGATAAAGTTAGGTGCTAAGTTGTGGTATCAATTCATAGCTCCCTTTGAGAGTGGTTCCCCAAATATTTTCAATAATACTGACTCGATTTCATCATAGTTCAAGTCATTTTCTTTGATCCCACAAGTGTATGAAGTAATATGTTCGTTAGGATGTGTTGTCCGTTATACTCGGGTATGTCGGGCATGCGAAACTTTTTGGGAATGGGCATCAGACCCGCACTCCGAGGGAATGGTTTTTGTATGAATATTTTAGCGTCTAAACCTTTCAAAACTGTAGGTGTCTCCGGTATCTGGACTACCCGAGAGTATAAGTTTCCACCTTCTTATCATTATCTTCAATTTTCTTTTCTCGGGACTCGTTCCTCTTAGTTAGCTCCTCAAACATTCTCATAATCATGGGGTCAGTCCCTGAACCACTTTCATTGGGCCTCTCTAGCGCTGGTTCAGCACGCCAATTGTTTACTGGTTAGGTAGTGTTTGGAGTTCTATTCTGGCTCTGAAGTTGAGCGATGGTGACTTGTTGAGATTGCAGCATCTCGAATATCATTTGGAGGTTGACTCCCCCTTCTTCCATTCCTTGTGTTCTTTGGCCACCGAACCATGCTTCCTTGCATGCATTCCCTACGGGGTCTGCGCCTGAATCTGCGTTTAGAGCGTTTTGCAAACTGATATCAATCGGCTCCATATTTGGCACTTTCTCAGGGTTTATGGGTGGTACACCAACCCCTATACGGATATTTTCTCCAAGACCTTCGTCGTTATGAATAGGTGCATTCTGTATGCTAGACATGTCTAAGCCTGAAAATCAAAAAATCTTGACAAGATAAAGTGTAAAGATAACATGTGTAACGAGAATCAGTAAAAAATTAATCACTATTATCTTTAGCCTCACGGTGGGCGCCAAACTGTTTATTTCGAAAATATGAGTGACAATTAAACTTGATTTGTGGTTTTAAAGATATGTGTTTCAGTTCAATACCAATTAATAATCAAGAAATGTGAAGTAGAAATGAAAGATAAAAGTGAATCAAACCAATGTTAGTTAGCAGTAGTGACCTCGAGATAGTGACCTCGAGATGGCTTAGGGTAGTAAGAACAACTAAGTAGGAAAATCAAAGTAAGAACAATCATGCTAAAGGACAATGCTGATGAATAGTAGGCAAAAAAGGTATAGGGTATATTCTTTGCTTAGTGAAAAGATGGTCTTACAAATGATTGAGGTCCCCCTTATATAATGGAGGAACCCTAAATAACGAATATTTCTATCTACAGTAGGGAATATTCTTGATACGGCTGTCTAACCGTCTAGTATAGAATTGTACAATCCTATTTCATGATTTGCGCCATGACTTTGGGGACGTGGCAGGAATCTAGCTCGT